TTTTTTAAATGAGAGCGTGTTTCAGCTTAGCGTACAAATTGCGTTCCATATTACTGTATTATCCAGATAATCGTATGGATTAATCAGTGGGCGGCTGTTTTAAGCAATTTAGGCTTTAGCCCATCATGTTATAAGATGAATAAAAATACAGAAAAACCACAGTTCCATGACTTACTGCACCATTATAATACATTGTATAGTGGCCATCCACTTGGAATAATAAGACACGTTTTCTATAAATTGTATAAAAACAACTAAACCTGAAAAATACCTTACTGACTTGAGGTAAACCACGAAATGTATTGAAACTACAGTAACTGAATGAAATCCGTAAAAAGTAGATTAATTCTTTTTAAAAAATACTGTACTGTATATCATCTATAAAACTTGGAAAACAGTCGAAACAATTGTTCCATATTTGCATAAATTTCTTAAATTGGCAGGTGGTAATCAATTTATGGATTTTTCGTAGTAAAACAATGTTTGTAAATCAGTAAACAATGTTTTGATATGTTTTTTATTGGAAGTTATCTTACTTGACCATTTTAAATGAGACTAAAATAGAAATAATTAGTTTACTTAATTAGATTGATCGAGCTACTTGTGAATATGCACACTTTAGTAAGTCTTATTATTATTATTATTTACTTATTATCATCATTATTTTATTAGGAATTTAAGGAAAATGTTTTATTTACTAAGTCTCCCTCCAATTATGACCTCTTATAGGACTTGTGTTCCTATGGTCTTTATCAGCTTTGGTTTCTAATTACAGATAAAGACATTGTTTAGTTAACTTGGGACAATAAAAAGGTAGTCTTTATTGGAGGTATGATAATGCATATTCTTTACCGTCAAACTCATATTAAAAATACAAATTCGAAAATTGACTTACTTGTGACGAAAAACAAAGGAAACAACCATACAGCAATTAAACAACACAATATGATAAAAGCCCATTATACAATAAAATCACAAAAGGTAGGTAGTCTTTAATTGGAGGGATCTTTAATCAGAGGGAGACCTGCAGTTTATTCACTGAGCTTCTACGCCATCTGGTCCTGGAAGCCCAGGAATCGTGATTAAGCTCGGAATTTATGATTTGTACAAATCACATCTGCTTGCAAAGTTTCCATTTACAGTTAGTTATGGGAATGACCTCTCACCTGCCTTGTTACATTCACAAAGGTGGCTCACCGAACTACCTAATGTCTGTACCGCAAGTATAAGCACCTACGACACTCACAAGCACACCTAGGTACCACATTCACCTGATGACCTATTACAGTACCTCATAAATTTTGCAGAAACCCATAGGGATCCACCTTTTAATAGTCTCGTCTTTATAACTACCTAACTGTAGTCCACTGGTCTATAGCCTATAGGCCATTATTTCCAATAGCACCATTATAAAATAGAATGTGAAAATATTTCTTTAGAATTGATTTTAAAAAATTCGCTGAAAATAGTTCTCATTATCCAGGTGTTCCATGAAAAACACAACTCCCTTTCAGTAAGCTATGACCTGAAGCTAATACTGCACTTTCAATGCAATTTCAGATCAAAAACAGATAGCTTTTGAAGAATATGGCAACCTCCAGTACAGTAAATTAGATTTCTTTTACATTCACTGGAGTAGATATCTTTTAGTGCAGCCAGGTGTATGGTAGTTTTTGGTTGGGTATCAAGTTGAAGTATTTAGCCTCTGGGAACACTCTGTAAAATTTTCTCAGTTATATATTATATCTTAAGGCAATGTCAACATTTCTGAATTCCTAAATCATTTAGATGCAGCTCCTCATATTCTCAGTGCACTGAGAGCTTCATTAGGCCCTATAAAAAAATATTATTAGTTTATCACACTATCTAGGCTGAAAAAGTGATGAGGGAGGAATTTTTTTTTTTCCTAAAGCCAAATATCACCCTTAGGTTATTTGCTGGTATATTGATATTCAAAGTAAAACATGACTGAGATAATACAAACAACATCTACTATTTAATATAAACAAATTATTTTTTTGCTTTTTTTATATTTTCAAAAAAAATTAACCTTTTCAGTACCATAGAAGACATGCACATGAGGGTGATAAACTAATATTTGTTTTTATTGGGCCTTACCAGTACATCTTAGGTAGGAACAGCATAGCATCATCATCAATTACGCTCCACATTTTTTTTTACCTTGTCATACCATTTTAATAGTATCGTATCGCGATTTACTTTCAGTCCCAAAGCTCAAAATTCAAAAACAAATTAAATTTTGTAGTTGTGTGCTTTGTGTGAGCAAAGCAGTAGAATTTTTTTCATCTTTTCCATGGAGAATTAACTTAATATTTATCCTTTAGTTTTCAAGAGAGAGAAGTTAATAAGAATTAATTATTGACTTGACAATATTATTATTGAGAATAATTTCAATACTCCATATTTAGAAAATAAACAACCAATTAATGCAAATTGCTAATTTCTAATTATTACAAATCCATCTCACTGGTAATAAACAATAGTAATCCATTCAATGTTTACCCAGGAGGAACTGCCAAAATAAACAGAAGCTAAACCAATCATACTGTAGTTTAGCCACTGGCAAGTAAACATCAAACAGAAAAAAATGGCATATCACTACTAGACAGTGTTGACCATAGTTAATCATTAGCATCAATATGGACTTGGAATTGACAGAAATAACCATGTGGATAAATGGTTTCTAGTTCAGTTTTTTCAATAACCATGATGAAAAAATCATTGCACTCAGGTTTACTACAATTTAAATCAATGTTTTATAGGACAAAATATCAACAGATTTAATTTGAATTTCTATACGTATACCTATTGTATAGTAAAAGATACAAGTCTGAACGTGAAGCTCTGGGGATGGATTTATCAAACTAGAAATCAGCTTAAATTTATCTTTAAGACCATTTTTTGTGCGTAAGTCAGACTTAATAATATTGCTTTAGCTTTAAAATTGCTTAAAATTACGCATGCACCATCTAAGACGATTTTTGCTAAGATTTTTCTAAGGTGGTTTGATAAATCAGCTTTGGATATTTGCTTAGGAACATCTAACTTTTTTGACTTAATGACATTTGCTAAGCTGAGATTGATAAATCCCAGGCCAGGGCTCACAGGCCATCTCTCATTTTCATGGTGTTTGGGCCAGACTCTGCAAGGCTGTGAGGGGTTCGTTACTGCTCCCAAAGAGCAAGACTATTTTACCTTCCCAGAATATGCTAATATCAATTTATATTTCCGAGTAGAGACAGACTAATATTCAGTAGATTAATGTCACTGTTATTTGAATGGTGAGGGTTTTGAACCCCTGTCCGCAACGCTTCCACACTGTACAGTACCCAGTGGCAGGTCTACAGCTGTATGTAGCTTTCTAAAGTAAAGTTAACCAACAACCGAGTAATTCAAAAACACTGTGTAGCCAGATGCCGCCAAACCAACGGCGACAAATTCATTGCGCTTCCTTGAAACTTGTGCATCGTGGAATCGCATTTTCCATGGAATTCCGACGCCATGTGTCAATTATATTTTCGGTAACTGATAAAGCAAGTGGGTATTACAATTCAATCATAGTCATTAATCTTTATGACTTTGAAAATTAAAATGTTTAATATTAAATTAATATAACTTATTTATGACCATCTTCGCCAATATTTTTTCTGAATTTCTTCATGTTATTCATCATCGTTCATTCCTTCTTTCTTTAGCACTTTCCATTTTACCTTTTAGTTTAGCTCTTTCTTTTCTCTACATCCTACTTTCCTACTTCATTCTCTTTTCTACCCCTCATCTTCCCTTCTTTTTTTAAATTTTTTAATCTCATTCATTTCTTTCTCTGTACCTTTTCCTTGAATAAGCTTGAATAATTGTTTAGTTTTAAAAACAATTTCTTAAGACATTCCAAGATATTTGTTTCAAAGTTATTACAACTTCAAGAAACACACAGCGATGAAATAACCCAGGCAATCAACGCAAAGCAAGAGTGAACCATCTACGAATATCTGACATACAAAAAACAATTAATTACATCTGCGCTCAGAAGGGAAAAAAAGCAAGCCTAGCAAATTTTTAATTTAGGTTCAACTAAAATGCCAAAAGAAATTTGTTCAACAAATTATCCATGTCTGAAAGCGCTCGTAAGAATGTTAACAAAACATGACCCTGCGACCTTCACCTACATCAACGACCTTCAGACTGAAATCTCTGTTTATTAATTTTAGCTTTCAACTTCTATTTCAATTCCACAGCAAAGTAGAATTCGGTTTCAGTGCATTACTGTATATACTGTATACTTGCTATTACCATTTCCTTACCAATTATACTTTTAGCTATTGTATCATCCCTCCCTTATTCTTGCATCCATTTTCTATTCACATGAAATAATCAAAACACATCAAACTGCTACTACAATTATTACTACAGCACTGTCTTGTATCGTATATTATTTCCTATTAATACATGTAAAAAGTGAAGGTGGTTGCAATGGGCACTAGATACGAAATATTACTGTACAATACAATAAATCTTCATTGTCACAACAATATAAATACAGCTATGAGATACTGTTCCTTAAATACACTCTAGTACAAAAATATAGAAATTTAATTAAATACATACATACAGTACATACAAGTTACACACAAAATTTGCTAAATTAAAAAACACAAGATGTTCATAATATTTACAGAAGAAACTGAATTTCATTCTTATTCATATTTCTTTCACCATGCCAAAAAATTAAATTTACCACCAGTAACTTATGTACAGTTCACAAACCAACGGAGACCCCTGAACACCAATTTCAAAACCACCTTTTCATAGAACCAACCTTTAACATTTTAACCCAAAGCTACTTTACTGTAATTGGAGACCACTTACATTTTTAGGTCCCAAAGGACTTGAATTTGAGGGCAAACTGTAGTTTCAGATTCAAATTCAGATCACAAAAAAAAATCAATAAACAGCTAATGAAAATATAAAATTGTACATACCAAGTAACGCTTGAAACAGATGACTTTTGAAGATGCGGATTACCCTTTCAATAGCATTCCTTAAAGGTCTGTCGCTTGGCTTACTCAATTTTGAGTGGTAGTCCTCGAGTAATTCCAAAGCCCTGTGGGCTTCTATAGGAATACAAAAAAAAAAACAAAAAAAACATCATTATATATATAATTATTATTAAATATGAATCAAAATTAAGTTTAATATGCAATTCATCTTTAAAATGACAATCATAAAGTGCTTGTGACAAATATTTGGATAAATCCTTTTATGTTTTTGAAAATGTGAACACCCTGAATTTTCCAGCCTGTGACTGGCTCAGGATGTATACCTCAACAATTCTGTGAATACTAGAATGTACTGAATGGGTGACTATTTACTGGACACTGAGGCTGCTCCCTGAATAATTTTTTCATTCCTGATGATGACATAATTAATGTCGAAATATTGAATCCCAACACGATGGCGTGTATTTCAATACTTGGAGTATGTATTATACTTTCAAATATGCTATAGGTGCCAAACAATTCCGAAAGCCAATTTTATTAAATGTCAGAATGCCAACAACATTGAAACTGATTCTAATAAGTGAAGAATTTGATTTACATAACAAATTAATCAGAGATATCATCACACATAAATTGTTGACCTTACTAAAAATGCTTGGAATTTACAAAATGTCTAAAATTAAAAGAAAAGTAATTAATTGAAACAAATAATATACAGGTATAAATCAACCAAGTGAAAGTAAAGTTGTGATCTAAGTCATCGAAAAGCAAAGCAAATCACATGCCTAAAACGTCACACTCCCAGGCACCACTTGACAGATAGCCGAACAAAAGAGCATTAGATAACTACTACTTTGCTGTATTAAAATACAAAATTAAAACTCACTCATAAAACAACTGAAATAAAGCATTCAGAAGAAAAACTATATGTTCAAAACAGATCAATTATTGTCAAATGCCTATCTTACTGCAGATTTTACTTTATTACTGTATCTGAATTTTTATTAAATTTTATGATTTTTCCAATTTAATTTATTTGATTTTTCATACATTTATTGTGCCTTTGCAGCTAGCCAAGGGCAACGTTCCAACATGTCATAATACCTAGCATAATAAAGTTAAGCCAGGAATAAAGTTATGACAGGCCATAAGGTACAGTATTTGGGCATTCACAGTATTTGGCAAAGTCTTAACAGAACATGAAGAGAAAGTTGTCGGAATCAACGAAAACCAAAACATACAGTAGCTACACTGAAGTAGTTCTGAATGGTCACATTTTATTTGAAACCAGGGATCCAAATATTCTGAATAAATTGTTTACTGCAAGTATAAACTTTTTTTATTTAAATTTCAAATGAAAATTTAAATATAAAAATAATTTTCTGGTAAATAATTGAACGTTCTGATACTCTTTGCTATACTGCCCTATCCTTAAAATGGACTAATATTGATATTATCAATATTGATCATTTGGCTTAATACTGACTACACATTTTAGTGATAAACAAGTAAAGGACTTTCGTATTTTAAAAAATGTCTGTATTCCAGTGAAAACTAATTGTTTTGATTTGTCTAATTTGAAGCTATTGTAAGGTTATCTTTTAATATTTTATTGTCAATATCATACAAGAATGATCAATTCAATATATTATTTGATTTTTTTTAAGATCATATAAGACTATAAATTAGAATTCCTTTAGCAAAATGGTTCTAGCCAACACATCTGCAAAAAAAATAAATACATAAAATGTTGAAATGAAGGAAAAAAAGGCATGTGGTAAAAAGTAATTACTCCCTTAGGCTTATGTTCGAGATTCTATAGTCACATTGTTACGAAAAGAATGCAAAGTGACAATGTACTTAATAAACTAACTTTCTGTTAATATTACACAAATCAGTAGTGATGTTGGTAGTCTATGAGTGGATACTTACTGGATAAACCGACTAAATGCCTATTCTTTCTCAAACATGTGAACACCCCTCGAAAACGAAATGGAACAGTCGGCCCTGGCGCCATGCACAAGTGACCCTGCAACAATGCTTCGTCCTCATTCTTTTTCGATAGATCGAATGGAATTCTTCACTCGTAATTTACGTGTGATTTTGGATTGTTATTATCTGGATTTTCTACTTGAATTCATGAAGGATGTTATGATTGCACCACCTATAACACTGAGTGCCACTGATATAAAAGTGTATATCAGAATAAATTATACTAAATATTTAATAGATGGATAAATGTGGGTGATAGACATTCTCTGCCACAGACATTACGTAACAGAGGATTCTAAATAAATTTTACAGTATGCAATTGGCAATCAAGTTACAAATAAAATTAGTTTCAAAGTTATGAAAAGTTTAGGATACGAAATGTTAACCCCCACAACAAATGTTTATATCCGAGGAAAAAAATAAATATTTTATCACAAAATTTTATAGATGTCAGAAAAAATTTAGAAAAAATTCCCTTGTTTTATTCCATTTGCTATAATATTTTACTGTAACTATTAAATGATTTTTATTTTTATTTGAGATAATTATGGGAGTTCAGTAAGTTAAGGCCAAATAAATTAATTGTTATTTTCACATCCAGGATTTGAAATGTTTTGGTGAGTGTACTTATTTGTTATTTACAGTACTCTCTACAATATACTAATGGTAAACAAACTGGCAAATAATAACAATTATTTTTTTATAATTGAAATAACATTAATCTTTGTTGACATTTATGTTTCCACCTGCTCTTAGGCTTTTGACAACAATTTTTCAGATCGTCATTATTCTTATTTTCCATGTAAAAATATTTTTTTTGGAATAGTGAATTTTTTCACGAGGCTCCAGAATTTGATGAGGGTGCAGGAACATGAACAAGTAATTTTTAATTTGGCCTAAATAAACATGGTGGTAATAAAATTTGTGTCTATCATTTATTCAACATTTTGTCTTAGACATGGATTTTTGTTACCTATAATCTTTCTTTTTCAGAAGAAATTTCAGGAAGAATCATTCAACATTTCACATCTATTCTACTATAATTCTCCTCTATTAATAAAGGTCAAGATATCATATACAAATCAGCTGTCTAAAAATAAAGACTTTACATTGATATTCAGGTCACCCAATTAAACAACATATTGACCATAGTCTCAGATATGACTATGCCAATGCAAATAATAGTATACAAATTGCATGACCTGATAACTTTCCCAATAATACTAATCTGTAGGTCTGATAAATTCAAACAGTGTATAATAATGTTGCACAACTATTATTTTTTTAAATTATCACCAACAGCTTTGATTCTAAATAAATTATTACAATCAAATCCAGGATTTTCTTACTCTGAAAAGATGGAAGTGAAAATTTGAAATCCATTTTAGAGGGGAGTGGGGGAAGGTGGTAGGGTTGGGATGTTTCCTTGCTTACTGTTGAGTTTCACAGTAGCCATTACAATCTGCTACTGTATATGATTTCACAATTTGTTACAAGATTTTTGCCTGCTGCCAGCCAAGGAGTGTGTGCCCCATTGTCAACTCCTGGTTCTACTTATAACCAGTAGTTGTGGGCTATAACAAAAACAGGTGTTGAAAAAAAAAGTGCAAGTCACAGACTCTAAGACAGACAGTATTTTTTTTATTTTCTTATCAATAATTTTAATATTTCACCAGTCGTGTGCTTCTGTGTATTGAATAGTGATTAAATTTTGACAATATCTTTTAATTGTTTCTTAAAATGTAAAATTATTAAATAATTAAATTAAGGTAGTGTAAAATCAATGAATATTATGTTTCTTACTATTTTCATGTTGTTTTTTTTTCAAAACACTACTACCACTACTGTTTTATTGTAGGTATTAAAAATTATAAAACATATAAAATGTTGCTTCCATTACAATACAAGAATGATAGGATTAGGAATGTATGATCTATTAATAAACATTAAGATCAAAGGAGAATGAAACATGTGATGACAAAAGAATTTAAAACAGTATCACGTACCAATAAAATCATATTATGAATTAATCCCTAATTTCCTTCTGTCGTGTTTTATCCATTATCTCATACTGTATTATGGTACTGGAGACCTAGTTTACTGTTAGCAGGAGAGTAGGCTTATAATAATCATGAACAAAGGACTATACAAACAACACAGCACACATAGTATAGTTTTTATCAACAATCTGTGTTCTCCTGAAGCCGTCTAAGCCGTCAATTTTACCGGTAAAAATAACTGGCCAACCAGTAAAAATTTTGAGTTTGTCAAAAAAAAAAAACTACTGATTAGGCCTAGGTAGTCTAGGCTGGCCCTCTTTCAGTAATGTCTTTCCAGTCTATGGCTATGAATGTGTGTTCTTGTTTCTTCAAGTCATTATACCCCACTCAAATGGGGTAACACACCTCACACTGCATGCATTGCTGAATTTTTATGGACAAATTTACCAGTAAAAAAATTTCAATTGGGAGAACACTGACAATGTTTGATGTACAGTAGAACATTAGGGTAGGGCTGATTCAATGGATGATCATGATACAGTAGTTCATAGGAAATTCATACATCCTTAAAACTTACTCATCAAATCATCAAGAATTTTAAAGGTTAAGATTAATATCATAAAACATATGGAAAACTTTAAAAAAAATCAATTAAAACACTAAATACAGCTTATTTAAAAGGATAATTCTTTGTCAATGAGACAAACATGATGTGAATACAAAATTTACAAATACGTACACCGGCTTATTTATTATTCATTAATAGTTTTGTTTTATCTTCATGTTTTTCTTGTATTCCTTGTTTACCATTTATGAAAACGGTTAATTTTTGTTAAGCGTCTTTGTATTACTTAGCATTAATTTAAACATTTTATTTCTAAATTGTATTTATTTATGCCTAGTATTAAGCTGGCTTTTTGTTTGTATTTAAACTGTTATTCTGGATGCACCACTATTGTGTGTGCCACATATCTTAAGGTGTTATTCCTAATAAATTGATTGATTGATTGATTTGATTGATTGATTGATTAACTTACCAACAATTATTCATTAAGATTAGCTGGGTGAGAAACATAGATTTATCTGAATAAACAATGCTCTAACATTTAAGTACAGGCCTCC